CTTCATCAATTAAGCTTTTTGAAGCATCAATCAAATATCAGATTCGATAAATACACGCGAAATGACAACAGGACGACGTACCGTCATCACCTATCTAAATATATCATAACACAAAATTAGGTAGGTCCGTAAAAAATATGTAATTTGTACAATTACAATAATATTCGATTTATTCTCCTTTCTCACCTGAGAAATTGTTTTTCCTTGTGATATTATTATTAAAGGCTCTACCGCTCGATCAACCAGGTTAACAAGATCCCAAATTTTTTCTTCTTCTTCGAGCTTCTTCATCTCAGGTTTCTCATCTTGTCCAAGCTCCATCAAAATTGTGTCTAGAAAATGGGTATGTCTTCTTTGAAATAGAATGAGCGAAGTTTTTATCGAATCGAATATTTTGTGTTCTGTCTTGCTTGCCTTTCTTTATTGCAAAATTTTCCAAGTTCCCACATTCAAAGCAAAAACCTTGTAATATTAAAAATAAACGCTAATGAATTCATCAAAATTAAATATGAGTATGTTTAGTTGTGATCTTTCATCCCTTCTTGGTGGCACTATTTTATAATGCTTAATTTTATACAGTCCGTATATATATATATATATATATATATATATATATATATATATATATATATATATATATATATATATATATATATATATATATATATATATATATATATATATATATATATGATGACACTATATTCCGGGATATCATCCGTTCGCTCGTTGAACTCCGACTGGAATCCTGCAAATCCTGCATCCGACTGGAATCCTGCAGACATTTCGCCAAAATCTCACTTGGCATCTTCAATGCATTGAAGCATTGAATTGCATTGCATTGAAGCATTGAAGCATTGAAGATGCCAAGTGAGATTTTGGCGAAACGTCTGCAGGATTCCAGTCGGATGCAGGATTTGCAGGATTCCAGTCGGATGCAGGATTCCAGTCGGAGTTCAACGAGCGAACGGATGATATCCCGGAATATAGTGTCATCACATTTTTCCATCCGTGAATCAATACGTGAGAATATATATATATATATATATATATATATATATATATATATATATATATATATATATATATATATTTTTTTTTTCATTGTTTGTTTGCTTATAGCCAACAATTTAAACCAACAATTAAAAAACTTTTAAAACCAACAAGAAAACGTTTACAAAACTTGGGGACACTGAAAATGCAAACGGCGGTCACTACTTAACAATATAAGTGGACTACCGAGAATGAGCACGCAAATCCCTTTGTTCTATTGACTGGTAAAAGTCATATCTTCTCCTTGGTCCACCACGCTTCCTCCTCCCCTCTGCTTTTTTTATGGCACTTCCTTTACTTCTCTATCATTTTCCATTCTGGCCATTGTAGTCTCCTTGCCTGAACAAATTTTTCGTTTGGTTTATCTCCATATAGTTCACACTGTTCGTCCTTCTCTCCCAGCAATATTTTTCTGCCAAAGATTCGCCTTAATACTTCCTTTTCCTGTATAATTAATTTCTGTTGTTTTTTTTAATTGAGGGCCTATGTCTCACAACAGTAAGTTAAATTTGGTCGGACCACTGTCTTGTAGAGTATCATTTTTGTTATCCTCTAGAGCTCCTTTAATATTATAATTTTGTGATGCCATCACAGACAATTGTTACTTTTTGCTACTGGTAGATCAACATCCTTGTCTTCTTCACATTTGTTGGTTATTACTACTCCCAAATATATATAGTCATTCACCTCTTCAAATTCATATATCTTGTTAGCCACCACTTGTACTTGTAAGTTTTTTTTGCTTTTGCTCCCTGTTCAATTCTTGGGCTCCATTAATTTGGTTTTATCCAGGTTAAATTGTTAAAAGTTTCTGCCGTTCTTGTAATTTGGTGGCATTGGTGGCTTTTATGGAAGATTGTGCCTTACTTTTTCTTATTATTTCCTCCGGCGTCAAATTGAACAAGGTTGTTAACAGTGGGGCCACTGGTCTTAATCGTTTGCCTATTTTAAAGGTTTTACTTTGCCGTTCTATATACTTTACTGCAATATGTGTTTTTTTGGGTGATAGTTTTATTATTTTCAATAGTTTTGCTAAGGTTGTTTAAAACTTCTATTATTTGAGATCTGCAAATAGCATAAATGTAGAAATATTCTTACTTTAACATGAAAACCTGATCTGGCCTAAATCCTCCTTGGTAGTCTCCTAATAATCTTTTCGAGTTTTCTTCCATTCTTTTCTGTAATAGTGTTACCAGTACTTTATATGTGACGTCTAGAAGCCCTATAGTCCTATAATTTTGGCAATCCATTTTATCCCCCTTTTTAAAAATTGGTATTATTATAATTTTAAGAGAACTCAACTGAACTTTTTGTAATAAGCAAGTAATAATTTGTTTTGAACATAATTCCGTTTAAAACAAATACGCACTATATTAAATGTAGGAAAAAAGAAAAACGTTGATGTTTTAAAGTGACTAAACTAATAATTGATAAACAAATCAATATCAAAATATCTTCAAAAGCACCTAAATGTTATATTAGTCGAATTGTAGGAAAGAGTTGATTTATTACAAGATGATTTCTTGTACATTTTAAAATGCATTATATTTGTGAATGCTGTATTATGCAACATTTTATTTTATCATAAAATTAAGACGACACCTAGTTTAAGGTTTTCTCTTATTATACAGGGTGTTCGATATATATCGCGTTATGTTGAAAAATGCAGCTAATGCCCGAAATTTGCAGCTATTGACTATACGTTTGGCAGGGGGATAGAAGTCCATCCGCTCATGCAGTTTGTAAAAGTGTAATCGGAAATCTGCAAATATTTTTTAAAAATTTTCGAAAAAAATTTTGCCTTCATTTTGGGCTCTATAAAAAAATTCATTTCTCCAAAACTGTTTACCCGATTCTTGAACCAAAAGACGCAGGAGTCCTAGGAGATAGTCCTGGATCTATAACCTTTATTTCAGGAATTTTTTCTTTTATATGCAGGGTTTCACAATTATGGACAAAAATCGAAAAGACCCTGAAAATTGTTCGTTTCTATAATAAATTATTAGCTGTAAATCTAAATTATTTTTAAAAATAGGGCGCATCAAGAGAACTGCTCGAGATATTTGAAAAAATTCAATGAAAATCACCATTTCTCGGACTCCGTCTAGACGCGATGACATAATTGACTATCCGTAGTTTCTGAAACAAAAAAATATTTTCTCGAAACCCATTTACTCTGTTGGAATAATTCGCGGACCAGGAATTATATCTGGAATTATATACAGGGTGTATTATTTTTGTGCAAAAAATCTAAAACAGCTCGAAAATTTCCGTTTTTTTTTTGGCAAATTATTGGTCGTAAATGAAAAACGGCAAAAGATAATTTGGTCCATCATCCTCATTTATTACATATTTTTTCTTCCTGTGCCCAAGTCACAATTGAACACATTTCAACTACTTTTGCATCTAAAATGTTGAGTTTTGATGACAAAGCGCTTTGAACACATTAAGAGTAATAATTTTCTTATTTTTAGAATGTGCAGTTTCACTAATTCGATTTTCAGCAACAAATTCAGAAGCACTAACCATTTTCAAAAACAAATTTTACAAATAACTGCCGAAAAGTAACTACATATCTGTAAGTTTTACGCTCTGGCAGTAAGAAATAGTATTTTCCTTTCACGGCTTCCTTTGATTAATTAAATTACTTTAACCGATCTATCCGTGGTGTGTAAGGTGTATGAATAATATTTTTTTTTACTACCCTCACTGAATAACAAACAACAAAAACAAAATATTAAGTTAGTTGGGACAGGTATCGATCGGGTTGCATTTTTCGTCAAAGTTGAACGATTTTCAAGGCGAAATTCGTGTTTATTTTTATTTGAAAAAACGCGCCTGCGACAGAAATTTTTAAAAATAGGTGTGCAATATCGACCCCGTTATTTTTGTCGCCAGTTTAACACCAGCCACCGACATTTCAGAAGATTATACCCAAACGATATCGTTCGCAATTAGTACGATTTTATGTTTTCGTAAATAAACCGTTTTAAGTGCTACGTGCTTGGTGACGGAGGTACTCGCTTAATTTTGACTTTCGCTCTAACTCAACAACCAATTAACTCAGGAGATAGAACGCAGATGCTTTTCTTTTATAAAAATATACCAGAAAACCAGAAACGTTTAGCCGCATTTTGATTGATATCGATGACGCCCTAGACCTGTATGCTCTACTGAGTGTCAATAAAATTACTAGCCAAGAGCCACTTTGTCAAAAAAAAAAAAAAATTGAATAAATTTGAATTTTATAGATGTAATATAAAAAAAGCGTGCCTACCTTTTGGCATATAAAACAATTGAATAGGACTTTCAGTTCTGCAGCAAGTGCGATGAATTATGTGTATTCTTCCATATTCGTATTCTAAGTAGGAAATGTTCTTTATTTTTTCCGTTAGCTCTGACAATTTTTCCAATACATCAACATGAATAATAAATAACATTTTTTAACCAAAAAAAATACAATGCTTTTTATAGAATGACGAATGATAAAAGTAAAAAAAATCATACTTTCTTACCAGAAGTACACCGAAAATTCGACTTTGTAGTAGTTCTCCGAAAAAACTTCCAATGGAAATCTTCCTAAAAGTAACCTTTTTTATTATTATGTGTTCAGTTTAGAATAATTCTTATAAAAAGCGCTTTATATGCCTTCAATTCTTTTTGAGATATTTGTGATTTAAATTTAAAAGTCAAACTTAATTAATAAAATATTTAAAATAGGCGGCCGCGACAATGACAGTGTTACTAAAACAATAACTGGCAAATAGTGACAGTTTGTATTGTAATTTGTATTTAGTACCTAAAGTATTCGGAGTAGTGTGCACCTTATTTCACAAGAGAACATGTTATGGTATGTTGTGGGATGGTGTCATAAAAAGTGCATTACAAGGTCCCAATCCTTGGAAAAAGTACAGAAATAACAAATAAACAAATCAATTACTTTACAGAGACGTTGAAGGATCTCCGAGGAAAAGGCAATACAGGACGATTCAGCAGGAAACGCACCAACAGACTGTCAAGAGTGAGTAAACGATATTTAGAGAACCCACCAAAACTAACCACAGCGGAAGAAATAACGCATTTTTTTTATTAAATCATTAATTCCAGGGTCAAATGTGACGAGAACTACCATTCAAGAAGCAGAAGAATACATACCACCCACAAATAAAGGAAATCCTAGCTGCTTAGAAGGTTCTCGTCCCACTAACGGTTTTGATCTCTTTAAAGGTAAGTTTAAAGGTAAGGTAAGTTTAAAGGTTTAAAGGTAAGTTTACAAAATGTATTCAGTATATTTGGAGAAAAATTTTAAAACAAAAACAACTAATAGAGCGAGTCAAATATTAACAAAATTAAACGTTTTGACAGATGTTTTTATTGTGATTTGATTTTATATAATTTTAGTAAGGGGATTTCAAAAATTTCATGCATTTATTTGTATCACGTAAGGTTTTTTTTTGCAAATATTAAAGAAAAAAAACGATAGTTTTGTTTAGTTTATTTATTATAAAATACAAAACTGGAATCCTAGTTACAAAAAGTGAAAAACAAAACTTTACCCAGACTTTTTTGAGTGAAATCTTCGTGTTTTTGCCAGAAAGCTCCGTGGCTGGACATTCAGCTATGTATTTTTATGGGCATATCTCGTTTCAACAACCACCAGTAGGCCGCCATCATGATTATGTTTCATCTGCCTTGGTATCGCAGTGCTATTTCCTTAATGTCCTGGTGAAACCTCTCTCTCTGTGCTTCGCTAACTGCTCCACGATTTTCAGGAAAATAGTTCAAGTGTGAAAACAGGAAATGCATTTTCAAACTCATATTACAACCTACACGATGAAAGTGTTCCCATGAAACATCCATTATTTCATTAAATGAAACCAAGGCGTTTTGCTCGATATTGGTCATTGTGTTGTGTGTGTTATCTGCGACCCAACAAAAATATCTTCTTTTATCTGGGCATCAGATATGGCTGGAAATTGCTCGCACAAATATCTGAAGCACTGTCAATTTTTCCTGCTTTAACAAACTGCTTCATCAAGCCAAGTTTGATATGAAGAGGAGGCAGTAAAACTATCTCTTAATGCACTTTTGCTACCAGGTGTAAGGCTTGTTCTAGAGGGTCAGTCTATTTGAGCAATGTCTATCTCTTGCCCGACTATCCCACTCAAAAATAAAGCATGGAAATTTTGTATAATCCCCTGTTGCCCTAGGAGCAAGCACAGCACTTTAAGGTCACTGCAAAGCATCCACTGATGTTCTCGTAGTTTATTTTCTTCAAAAGAAGTTCTAAATTTTCATACGTTTCTTTTAAATGTACCGAATGTGCATCGGAAACCAGGCCAGTTGGTTACAATAAAACTACTCCTTTTAAACTAAGCTTACTTCAGTCAGGCGCCATTCTTCTTTTATATAAGTCAGAAATGTTATTGCAATGCAGTAGCGGTCTTTCCTGAGTAAAATTTTTCGCGATCCTGGTAAAAGCTTAGTGTGACGCCAGGTGCCAGTAAATGCTTCACACTAAGTCTGGAAGGTGCAAATCTATAATTAAACCGTTTAATTCGCTCTAGTTAAACCCTTTGGGCTCCCTGAAATCTGTTGTGAAATCTGAGTCATCTGGGTAGGAATTATATTCCTCTGATTCTGACGATATGACGTTGACTCTTGGGGCGGTAGGTATCAGTACATTGGTTGGTTGGTCAATTGGTTTCTTATTTTTTCTGTCGAATCCTTGAACGTTACGCGAACACAATCATCACTGTGATTCCTAGGTTCTCGCTATACCATAGAAACTCCAAGCTAAAACATTTCTTCCTACCTTTTTTCCAGTTTCTTAATGATTCAAGACAAACGGAACAAACAGCATGAGGAGCCTGGGATTGGTCTTGGTCGCCAATTTTTGCACCAAAATAAGCGTGGTGTACATTTTTCACAAAAGAAGTTAGAGTTTGTCTTTGCTTTACTACGACAAAACTACCACAGATATAACAAAAGTTATTTGTAGTGTTCGCACAATGTCTTCTTTCCATCTTTCCAATAACGAAGACAACAGCCGCGAACACAGAAGCACGACGACCAGTATAACCAAACTACGCATAAGCAACTTACAATGCTGTATTGACGCTTCTGCGCCACCCATCTGGCTTTGTAGAGCGATCTAATATTATCCACTGACGTAAAAATCGATTCATTTAAAAATCATGCCTAACATGGAACAAACATATTCTTGTCATAGGTGTGTGTATTAATAAAATAACATTGTTAAGAGATAGAGCGTTATAAAAAAATGACGCAACAGATCAAAAATATGGCGTTTTTTCGAAAAAGGGCCTGCGAAAATATACAACTCCTTCTAAATCTCTTAAAAGAGTCCCAAATAATTAATCGTATTTGACTGTACCATTAACCTAAGAATCAAATAGTTTTGGTTAGTTAAGGTCACGACAGTACTGGCACAGATCAGTTTTTCGGGCACGCGTAATATCGTTGAATGGTTTACGTCGCAGTTGGAGATCTACAATGAAATTTTCCGACAGGTAACGTCTGTTATTTCTTTGAAAATTATATAATTCAAAACACATTCTTGGAACATGAAATATAAAAATGTGTATCAAATTACTAGTCTAAAAACTACTTGAAGGTATTTGGATACACGAATCGTACATCAAGGTCGAACTATTTAAGATATAACTCCAGATATAAGATGAGTGCTGAATGAATGAGGAAAGTGAAAAATAACTCTGCAAAATTAAATTTGAGATTATATAGGTCTGTACCGTTGCCATCATACCAAGAAACCATCAGACACATTCACGCTGTAGCCATCTGTAGGTGTTAATGTGCCCCGAAGCACAGCGGTTCCTAAAGTAGCACGATAGATCTTTGGGTCAGAGTTGAACCCAAAAAGCCTGTCACAAATCGGTTCGTGTTTGGTGAGATCATCGCACAAATTTCGACGTGACCCAACCAAACCATCGGCGGACGTAACCTCTCGAGAAAGTGCGTTTAACCCCAAGTAAACGAAAACAATGTTGCCGGGTGTGTCAGACATTAATTCGTTCCACTAGCGACTCCAAATAATGAACTAGACGTCGGGAACGTATTAAGGCGTTCCCGAAAGAATTTGGGGGCAATCAGCAAGAACCATCGATTGCTCGGTTAGTGTGTGACGTTCGACGTACGATCTGCACGTGTACAACTCCCATTTCCTCAAGTTCGGCGTGATGAAATTGCCGTGGCATTTTTGCGTGAAGTACGAGGGAAGCTTACCTCGCAGTGCCGAGCTGGGGCGCGAAGGACCAAAGAAAAGACGCTGGATTAAAGTACTGACCAAGTTCAGACTAATGAGGAAAATGAAAGGTATAATCGACCAGTGATGTGGTACTTTAAAAAAAAACATTTTGAAGAGAACTAAAAAAAAACAGTTTCAGTAATAACACAAAATGTTTCCGTAAAAGAAAGAGAAGAAAAAACTCACCAAAATTAACACATTAATAAATAAATAATAGCTCTAGTGTCTGATGCAGTTTTTAAACTATTAGGTTTGGCACATTTATTCTTCATTTTCAAAAGTAGAAAGTGACCACTTCAATAATTTCGCAAAATTATAGAAAATGGCAGAAATTTGTTGAACGCACGTAAATGACTTTGCAAGAAAAAATAATATGGACTTTTGTTGCTTCCCTAGTTCGTGATTTTGAAATATTAGAAATAACTACAACTTCGGTTGCAGATTTCCCTTTTAATAATCAGAAAAAAGAAACACATTCAAAAAATAACACACTTCGCAGCTTTTATTAATTGAAAAGAAATTTTATATTGAAACTTAAAAGAGAGATGATAATTGTCTAATAGAAATTCCTCCCACTATTGAGTTAGTAATAACTTTTTTCCAAGTATTTTAAAATTAATTTTTCAACGGTAATCGCAGTCTACGATGAAAACTTAATATTAGTTCTTATGTGTGGCAGTACTGATTGAGATATTTTTGGTTGGTAATTGACCAGTCTTATTTCTAAAACATTACAAGTAATGTATAACTGATATCGAACTAGGAACTGAATCATTTGTTTACGAGTCTCTAAGAGAAAGGTGGATATGCTTGAAATCTGAATCTGTGAAATCATGAAAAATCTCAATCTTCTGAATATCTCGTATTAGAAGAAAAAAGTTGTAGAAAATTTTAGTCTCAGTAATTGAGATTCCCAGGTATTTCAGAGGATTTTATTTCGCAATTTTTATTTTTGAAATTATTATTGTGGTTATATCATTTTTCTTTTTATTGACATTGATATTAATTTTTTAAAATTTAGTTTGGACTAAGATTCGTTACTAGTTCTAGTTCCCAAACAAGTACTTGAATGGGTTTCTAGAATTTTCTTCCTAATGTTATTGCTGAGTTCTCACTTTAGTATAATGTCAGTCGGCATACAATAAATATTATTCATTAATGCTGAAGAGCTTTCAAGTATTAATTAAAAACAACTTTTAATATCTGATCATATCTGATACCCTATTCTCAAATTGACGGTATATTAACGAATAAACTTATTATTATTAATCATTTATTGTGCAAAATTCTATCAACAAAGTCTCGATACATCTATTTTTTTATAATTGATTTGTGTGTTTGATAAATATCTTATAAAAATTTAATATTTTTTGGCATAGCCTTTATTACAGCTGTGAGCTCTGAGTTCAAGATTTCAATTAGGAGCAATAAATTGTCGCCTTAGAAGAAAAACTTGATAGAGATTATGAAATAAATAATTTGTTGTGCCACACAAAGCCTGAAATCAGGGAAACCCGAAAAAATGTCATAAAACTTTTGAATACATCAAGCCCACTTTTCACTCTCAGCTAAGAATAAGTGCATCTATAAACTTTATGGTGGCTGGTGGCGTTTGAAAACACACTTCCGCATTTATTTTTGTTTTTACTAACTATATAGGGAGAAAACTAACTTCCACAGGCTACTGTAATACTATTTACAAACCTTCTGCCTTCTTCCTGCGTCTGTTCTTTAATTCTTCGTTAATCATTCTGTTGGCTTCTTCATTTTCATTCATTCATTCTTTATGAATGTACTTTAGAATCATAACAGTATGAATGATTGGTTACCATATAAACTTCTTGGCCACTTTTTGCGGGAAATTAATGAGAACCAAATTCTTTATCTGCATCCCTTTTCTCTCATATTTGGAAATTTTGGAAAATAAGTAGTTCTGGGC